AAATATATATTTATGTTTCAATATATATAAATATAGGCCCTTGTTAACTAATACGTTATTTAAACAATCGAAACAGAATCTAAAACAATATTATGTTATGCGTAAATAACTAACAATTTAGAAATTACACATGCGATTAATGACGTCAAAACTTTTATTATTATTATTATTATTATTATTATTATTATTATTATTATTATTATTATTATTATTATTATTATTATCATTATTATTAATATTATTATTATTATTATTATTATTATTATTATTATTATTTTATTACTATTATTTTCTGACTATAGTGATCGACCATAAAATAGCAAAAACAACACAGAACAAGCGTGGCTTTGTCTTATAATTTCATATAAACCAAAATTCTAAATAATAAAGTCGTACTGGTGCCTATTTCAATACAGTTAAAACAAATGAAGCCACTTTCTAAGTGTGATAGTATAACGGATATTATAGATTAGAAATACACATTATCGTTGAAATCAAGAATAAATCCGTCATGGATTAAATATTTCTCTTCAGGTACTAACATCATCATGAGGCGGCGACGATGATGAGCGGCATTGCATTTGCAGGAGTTCGGCGAAGGACATACTACAGCCTATATTCTAGCTGGTGACGAATTCAACAATGCAAAACTAGTAGACCTTGACTCGTCCAAACTCCCTGCTAACAATTTTAATAAAATCGATACCTAATCACTAGTAATTTAGAAATTGAGATTATTTAAAGATGGACTTGACAGAAATTATGGTCATTTCTGGAAGCAGATTGAAGATGTGATTTTACTGATGGTGGTTGTATGTATGATGTCAAATTTAAAGAACTTAATATAATTAGAAACCCGAAAAATACCCCGAAGACAGCACTTAAGCCTCACAATACAGTATTAATATTTGCATAGACTGCCTATTTCTGGGCTAATAAACTGTACCTAATTAATGAGGTAGAAGCCAATAATTTGAGGTCCTGCCTGTGACGTGACATTGTAATCATGGCGGAGAGCGCTTGAATAGATTATAATTACACAACAGACTAAGTCTTTAAAAAACATGTACCGGTAAATTTAATTGGATTTTTAAAAAGCTCATTATTATTAATTATATCCAGATAAATTTATTCATTACCAACGCATATATCATCATCACCTGGCATCATTATGATTTCCAGCCACCACCACCGCCATCATCAACACATCATAATCATGGCCGACGGACGGGCCCGCCGGAGAGGGGGATATATAATGTCTAAGCAGATTTTTGTATGGTCGGAAAGAAATGCACGAAAGTGAAAGAAAGTGTGCCCCCTCACCCACTTTGAAAAACTTTCCGTCGACTTTGCATAATCAATACCATTCTTGTCATGACCATCATTTTCAATCATCGAATTCGTCATTAATATTATCATCATTAATCGTGTATCATCACCATTGTCGTCGTCACCATCATTGTCAGTAACGTAACACCTTAGCTCTTCGGAGGCCATACCTAAACGGGCTCCGGGATATTTATCGGTATTTTTTGTCAGGTCCAGAGGCCCTAAATTGGTCGAGTACTAAGGTTTATTTAGTAAGATTTAGGCCTATAGGAAGGCCCTTAAATTACAAAAATAGACGTATTCTATGTCAGTTATCGTAATTTTCCTATCGATAATTATTTTACCAAGACCATTGTAGGAATTACTCAAAAGTCATGATTTGTCATAACAATGCTCTTTGCAAATCTTTGTATTATCCCGGCCACAAACGCATAATGCTTATCGTTGATAAGTCGCATAGTAAATTAAATTAAACAACATTGATATGCGTAAGAAATGAGTTCCACAGTTTTTATTAATAAGCACATTAACTATAAATATATATAGTGATTTAAAGAGAAGTAAATAATATAAAAGTTATTTCAATAGTTACATTATTGTTTGTTTGAAAGGTTACTGAAATCGTTACAATTTTGAAACTAATAATTGTATAAAGAGTAAACGTTATCCTACAAATTTAAAATAGTGACCTGTAAAGCTAAGTTGTTGAATGCGAGCAGAGCCTCTTCTGCATAGTTACCGTATTGAATACAACGATGACGACAAGTTGGTGATAATGATGACGATGATGGTGGTGGTGATGATGATGATGGTGATGATGATGATGATGATGATGATGATGATGATGATGATGACGATGACGATGACGATGACGATGATGATGATGAATTTTGGTAATGACTATTGTTAGGCTTATGGTAATAATTGCCTATTTTTTTCTTATTATTATATTATAAGATTAATCCTATATTTTAAACTATTTTCTCACCACTGACGCTAATATACCTGACCGATTGTGTTTAGATAAATCGGTTTCAAATCAAGTGAATTACTTCCATTTTTGACGTAAAACAACATTGTCTCGTTCCGGTTCTTTTGTGAGTAGGTCTCAAAAACAATGTTTACTTGCCATTGTTTTAGGATTGCTACTCGGCTTATTTCCCCCACAAGGCAATATTGGAATGAGTCATTTATATTGGTGAAACAAGGGAACAATTTCACTGTTCTCTGGTGAGACTAACTCGACGTGATCTTTTTTTTTTATATATCAAGTAAAAAAGAGTTTTATTAATAGGCCTAATTAATCAGAATTTATCAGATAAAAATTATTATAATAATTATTATCATTTATGATCACCATTTTCATTATCATTGTATTGTTATTCGGCTGTTTTCATTATTGTTATATTATAGTCCTATTGGATTTAATATGAAGTAAATCAAGATTAAGGTTACGTAAACCACCCAAGCTTTCCTTTATAATATACCGTACTTAACAACTTTTTTGAAATTATTTGATTATTAATTATAGTAGTGTAACCTTGAAATTACATATTTTCCTCATTATTATTATTATTATTATTATTATTATTATTATTATTATTATTTCCTCATTATATTATTATTATTAGGTCCATTATTAGGCCCATTATTACGGGTATTATCATCATTATAATTAATATTATTACTATCATCACTATTAATATTATCATTGCCATTATAAATATTAATATCATTAGCATTGTATTATTATTCGGCTGTTATCATTATTGTTATGTTATAGCCCTATTGGATATGAAGTAAATCAAGATTAAGTTTACGTAAATTTACTCCAGCTTTCCTTTATAATATACTTAACAGCTTTTTTTTTAATTATTTGATTATTAATTATAGTAGCGTACTTGAGATAGACGCATTTGGTGTCACGCTTCCAAAATAACATTTGAAAAGTATATTACACAGATGTGAATTTAATTTAGATTTAAGCTTCGATATTGTACCAACACCATATGGATGAAAAAGTAGGCCTATTTTATATACGGTGCAAATTGCACATTATAAAATATGTTTTGATTAACTTTGTAAAATAAGTAGATTTTTTTTTTAAATTTTCTTTAATTTTTTTAATTATTTGATTATATCATAGTAGCGTAACCTTTATCTTGTGATAGACGCATTTGGTGTCACTCTTCCAAAATAACATTTGAAAAGTATATTACACAGATGTGAATTTAATGTAGATTTTTAAGCTTCGATATTGTTACCAACAATAGTTCTCCCCAGGGATGAAAAATTAGGCCTACACTATATACCGTACAAATTGCACATTATGAAATATGTTTTGATTAAAAGTAGATTTTTTTATTTTTTTAAATTTTCTTTTATTTTTTATTTTTTGGTTTTCCTCTCAACCATGTTTAGTGGAAGTTGTTTTCTAGTGGCAGTTGAAATGTGGTGTTAATAAAACATTTATGCTGCAAACATTAGTTCCTTTTAAGCCAGCGCACATTGTGGCGGAGCTGGCATCCGTCACGATGCTGTGAGACCGTAACGACACACTGCGTAACTCGTCGGATCATTTTCTAAAATATGATCTCTGCCCAGACTATCACCTCTCAAACCAGGGGGACCCATATAAACCGGACGGCACTGTGGTTGCCGCATATGCGTCATTTTGTTACAATTTGAGCCAATTGCTTTGTAAATATTGACATAGTTGGTTTTTTTTATTATACTGTTCGAATATTAACTACAAATTAATACAGTGAAGCCATATTTTTATTTTAATATCAGTAACAGAAAACAATATTAAATAGGCCTACTTCTGAAAAAAATAAATAAATATATAACTATTAAAAAAGGCATTATATTATGAAATCACTCAGAAGGCAACCGAAGAGGTTGGAAGAGGAATTATAAAGAGAAAAACGACAGGAGAAAATAAAGAACAAATTCACGTCAAACTAAAGAGTCTTTACATTAGCTGGTTTAATGATTTTCGTAGTAATAAGGATGTGAAGCAGAAAAAATCGTACAGTTCTTATCTGTCTCAATAGTTCATAATCTATTATCTTTATGATCAAGTCAATAGTTTAACTTCATATTGAGAGGTGTACAGTATTTATGTAGTACCATAGGCTTAGTGACAGTTGAGAAAATTAATTGTTTGAACCTTAAGCCTGTGAAAATGATACTTTTAAACGAAGTTTCATGTTTTAAATCTATATTTAGGAGTTTTAAAGATTTAATGGTCAATAGTCACATACTGTAGGCCTATAGTGCCTTCCACAGTAGAAACCGTCTCAATGCGCTTTTAGCCTCAAAGAAACTAAAAATTAATTAATAAACAAAAAAGAACGCGAAGGGGAGGAGGGAGATGCAGAATGTCCGTAACTTTCACGTAACCGATATTGAATGGATCTAATTCCCGCCCATCACATATTTGGAGTGACACTCTCATAATAGTTCCCCAAGCCATACACCCTACGTCACGACCGTGTAACCGCTAAATGACGTATGTTAATCTGTGACTCATTTAACCAGCTGTAAGTAGGGTTATCCGGTGGAGGCTTATTACTACTGGTGTAGAAAATAATAAGTAAGTCGAGAAGGAGGAACAAATTACAGTGACCTCCAGCAGACGTGTAGTCGAGTCGCAGTTTCGTACGTTAAAAATAAATCGTATCGTTCAACCGGAACTAGATCCATATAAGGAAGTAAGAAATATCATTACGCGTGTCTTGTAATCTCATATAAACAACGATCAGCGTGTCGGCTCAGTCGTAATTAAAACTTCATTCAAGTCGGATCTGTATCAGAGTGTCTGAATCAGTGTTTTGGAAAAAAAATCATTTTAAGTTTATAAAGTTGAAGGTATGAAGGTCCAATTCGCCTGCCTCCTAGCTCTTGTAGTTTGCTGCTCGGCATTTATAAAAGGAAGAAAAATTAAACGTAAGTAGTAGGCGTTAACTTGTAAATTTTATTTTTTCAAGTGCAGTTGGTTGGAAGTGGTGGTAAGTAACCAGGGAGATATATAAATCCTTATGCACATGTTTGAAAAGGGTATTCCGGTATAAGTTACAGCAGGGGTTACAGGAGCTTTGGTCTCATGTGAATGATAAATACTATACTACAAGGGAGATATAAAAATGTATAGTATCATTGTGTACATGATATACTGCAGTAAATGAAAATGCTAAATTCTGATCTCAAAAGGCCTAATATTAATAATAATGATAGACATAATCTTCGTATAAATGATAGCCTAACCTTTGTTTCAATTCTTTGCACCAGGTATTAAAAAATGTACGGTACGAAATTGGGAATTTAGAATAGTCAACTTTGTTGATCGAGATATAGTTTGAGGTGTTAGATTAAATTTTAAATGCCAGTTTTTGAGCGTTTTAATGCTTTAATTGTGTAATCATATATGCCATGGCCAATAATCCAAGCTGCTGGCCGATAAGAAAGTCGATTACCATTGTTCCAAACAATGGAACGCATTTCGAAGATGGGTGTAGACCTACACCTACCTCAGTCCCTCCCTGCTCAGTCTTATTATTTTAAGCTCAGTTTAGTACTGCAAGGTTTTTGAATCCCAACACGATGGCGTGCATTTCAATACTTGGAGTATGTATTTATACTTTCTTAGGTTATTGTACACTAACACGGAACTCTTTTTCTATTTACGTCTACCACGTGAAGATATGCCTTCAATTCAATACACATAGCTAATGTAGAACGACTCCTTGATGTAGGTAAGCTTGATAATAGTTTAGGCCCATATCATTCTAATCTGAAGAAAATATAGTACGTGACCACTTGGTCCGTCTAGCTTACACAAATAATTTATGTTCCCTTGGTATCACCTCCACACAAAGATTCCAAAAGGTTTTGGATTTTAGATTCCTCTTAGCATTAGTTTATCATCTACATTATATGATTATAGGCCTTATATACAAAAAAAGACTGCAAATAAAGAACACAGATTTATATTTATAATGTCTTGTTCGTGTTGTTCTAGTGGAGTGATTGATTCTCTGACTGGAATATGCATACTGTAGGTAGATCTCTTTGCTGTTTAAACAGGGAGGTAAAAAATCGTTTACGTTTCCATGGTTTTAAAGAACACTTATCCCTTTTTATTGATTACTGTACTTTACTTATTTCATTTAAAGAATTGCATTTGTGCTCGCAAGTTCCAATACATTTTCTAAACAACGCCCCACTGCAAATCCTTGTTCACGCTAGATAAATTTAGGTGCGTTGCGCAAACGCGGTCAAGCTACTATCCAGCGTAGCCACTGTGTAAAGTACAGCATGTTTCTATTGGTTATTAAAGAAAGTTTTTTTTTGGTATATGGGCCTAAACAAAGTGTATTTAGGTTTTCAGGATATATTTTTATAAATAGGCCACAGAATAAAGCAAAACATTGGGCGTGTCATCCTGGATAATTTTTTTTTTATCATGCTTTGTTGATATAAGCTTAATTTTGTTTGTTTGTTTTATTGAAATTCTCCACATAAATCATAATATAGTCTAATAAAATGTGAATAGAGGTCAAAGTAAATTCGTAGAACTTTAGGTTATGACCCCCAGAAAACCTCAAATCCACTCAACTGATGATCATCGGAGTAAGAACAGGCCCACATAAGAGAAAAAAGGTCTCTCATATACTCTATATATGAGAAAAACCATACAATACAAAAATATTTTAACGCGGAAGGTCGCAGACTATGTTAACAGATTATGCAGGCAAACAAACTCAAATATCAGGCTGATTCGAATAAACTAATCAACGAAACCAGAGTAAATGTTTCTTCATAGTCTTGAATACATTATTCCCGGTTATGTAGTAGGTCTCTCTGCAGTATGCTATACATTGAATGTAAGAAATTAAAACTCTGTGGTCATGCAACCATAAAACTTTCTGTCCGTATCTGGCTCTGGCGCAAGAACGGTAATCCGCTAAGCTAGTCTATAGGCCTAATAGGGCTACGTGTTAGCAAGAAATATATCATCCGCGGGCGGACCGATAATGCTTAGAGTGAGTATAATGTGCTGTTCGAAATCGACGGATAAAAATAATCTTTAATTTCTAGTAATAGAATGAAGATATAAAATGATAATGGGCTGAAGAAATCGAGTAGTTAAAGATCAATTTGATCTCAGGTAGGCGGAATTATTAACCCACGACCGTTATGTAATCGATGTAGGTAGGCCTACTTATACAGTACATCGATTTAATGGATTCCGATATACGTATATTTTAAAGGAGCTTTGGGGGAATTCATATTTTATTACGCCAGACTCGTGCGCTCGCACATACTGCACTGCAAGCGAGCGTAAAGTGGCCTGCCTATATATGGAATGATATCACAGCGAATCAGGTGCTAAATACAGATGCTAAATTCATTTAAAATTAATTTAAAAACAAAATTATTAAACACACTCTAAAGGTAAACTGCGCCTTAGATCATTTTTGAAATTGGCGCATATAAATGTTTGATTATTATTATTATTATTATTATTATTATTATTATTATTATTATTATTATTATTATTATTATTATTATTATGCTAGATTTAAAAGTTTTGAATTTTAGAAATGAAAAATGAATGTTGCCAATAACGTGACAAAGTTAAAGCACAGATCTTATAGGATCTGTGGTTAGAGTGTCACATTGAAGGTTCAGAACCCCGAGAACGTTGCACTCGATCATATCCTTTTAAGTGAAGTAGTGATGGTGTGCTCGCGTAGATGAACACCTCGCGGCAGAATTGATTGAATTCAAATCTTATGTGCTTGTTGAATTACAGAGCTCTGGCCCAAGGTCATAGATTAATTAAACTATAATTTTATAAATCGCAGACGTGTGTCATTATCGACGGAATTTATACACGTTTTGTTTACAGTCTTGTAGATTTACAGTTCTTACGTAAGCGTTGGGACCCTGACGAGACTGATGTTCTACAATTACATTAAAGATAATATTTTAGTCTACATGTTTCAGGGGTACAGTATGTTGAAGTAAGAAATTAGAACAAAATATTGAACACGAAGAAAGTACTGTATCCACAAATCAAGAGAAAAATGTTAGTGGCTATGTTTATTTCTTTTGCTCACACTGTCCACAGTATGTACAATCATGGAGGTATAAAATTAGGTGCTACCGTGCGATTACGTAATAGTGCCCTAGAGCATATACTGTGCAATGATTTTCAGTTTTTTCTAGTGTTTACTTATAATATCGTGTGTGTTCGCGTGTGTGTGTATTTATATGTATGTGTGTGTATGTATGTGTATATATGTATATATATATATATATACATATATATATATATATATGTATATATGTGTGTATATGGTATATATGTATATAAAATGTAAGTCTACTTGATATGCGTTTATTATTAGATTTTACTTTTTGTTTTGTCGGGGTCAATGTTGAGACAAGCTTCGCTTCTATTTTTGATCCTAATTAATAAGTTTTAATGTTGTCCACCTTTTTTTTATCATTTGATGTATTTGATCAATTAATTGAATAAATGTTAATTCAATTGAAATTGAAAATTGAATTGTTGTAAGAACAGAACAAAAAATTGACAGAAAAATAGGAACACTGAGCAAAATTTCCTGATTGTTATCATAGACTTATTAATAAGATAGGATAGTAGGAAAGGAAATAGTGTAACTGCACTTACCGCGAGACTATAGTTTGATCTTTTGTAAAAGCTAAACACTTGTACGTTGAGCATTATGTTAACTATCTGATGCTGTCCATTGAATCGAAAGGGATAACAATAATTGAACATAAACTAGTGCGTGTGTTATGTGAGATTAAGTCTTTACAGAGATTTGGATTGAATGTCAAAGACGTACCAGCGGCTATAAATCGTTTCCGCTTCTGCTGAATGCCATATTGTTCAGCATAGTGTTTATTATTATTCTTTATTTGGAAACGACACGTTTACAACAGTGGCACAGGTATGTAAACGGTGCCACTAAAATAGAACTAACTTATAATAGAAACATAAGGCCCCATAAAAATTATTAGTTTATCACCCTATCAAAGAATAAAAACTGATGAGGGAGGGAGGTTTTTTTTTGCTAACCCCGCCCCCATTTTACCGATGTTCACAAGTTAATCAATGGTTAGAGACACATATATAAAAAGTCATAAGAATGGTATAAAATTTATATTAAGAATATGTTTTTGTTGTACCAGTAAACATATTTTCCTGAGCTTTTCAAGTGAAAAAAGATAGAAAAACGACCGTTTGAAATAAAAATATATGTTGACTGGGGAAAAAAATCTGTATTTCCCCGAAACTTATGAGGGAGGGGTGATAAACTAATATTTTTTATGGGGGCCTTACAAATCTAAAATCAGAAATTTGTAACATATACAAAGTTAATTACCTTTCTCTTCTCTCATCAAGAATACAATACAATGCTGAACCCAAAATTCCTCTTTCTCATTCCCTTCTTACACCAAAAATTTAAAGGATCTAACAAGTTTATGTCGGAACGCTTGAGTATTAACAGAGTTCATTCGAATGTCAAAACCACTTTAAATTTACCGACATTTACATTTAATACATCATTAGCCTAAGTTTATCTGTGAAATGTTTTGCTTCAAGTGTCCTACAGTACAGTATTGACATGATGGAAATGATGTGATAGATGGTCATAAAACAGCCATATTAATAAAGATAGATTAAAAGAGTGCGGCGCGGATTTCGACTACGAAGTGACAGTACAGCCTACTGAATTTTAGTTGTTGTACAGATACTTAGGTGCAGTGACGCCAAGCCTGTTTTCCCATTGACTCGTTTACAATAGCTTTTTAGTTGTTAATTAGGCTGTGTTTTTTAACTGTTGACGTCTAAATTATTTGTCATCACCTTTTTGCCAACCCGGATTCGGCTGCCTTGAGCCCAAATCGATTAGTGTAGTAGTCACCAACTTCTGTGATCACGTTTGTTTCGCAAATGCTGGACGACTGCCAGTACATGTGTTGAATTTACGCACAAGCAAACTTTTACACAGGATTGGCAAGTCATCTCAATTTGAACAATTGGCAATGTTAAATGGGGGAAGGGATTACCATAGTTTAACAATTGACAATGTAAAGTGGGGAAGGGGAGGGGGTAGTGATCATTTACCATAATTTGACTTCTTGTAGCTCCATCCCTTTTTTTTTTTATAAACTACTGTATCCTAATCCACCAAACGCTGTTTAACTAATTGTGATTTTGTATAAGCCTTTATTATGATACCATACACAGGGACGTAGCCAGGATTTTGAAAGGGGTGGGGGGAGTCGTTATGCGAGGTACGTAGGACCCCCGCGGGGTCCAGGGGGTGAATCCCCCTGTGAAGTAGCGCACTCTGAACGTTTTTAGGACTGTTTTGAGAGGATAAATTGAAAATTGCAATAGACGCATCATAAATAATATTAAAAGTGGTAATAAAATAAATCAACATTGGCAGATCCAGGAATTCGAAAGAGAGGTGACCCAGTGAGGTCCTTTCACAGACTGAGGAACCACCCATCTCAGCCCCACCATGGTTGGGGGGGGGGGGGGTGAGGTAAGAAAATTTATGATTATGATCTTTAGATGGCCGGAAATTACACTCTCAGACTTAAATTTGAATATATTTTTTGTTCTTCAAAAAATAGGAAGGTGGTGGGGCAGACTTGGAATCCGCCTCTGCTCAAAACATTCTTTATTCAAAATAGTCATAATCACGAAAATAGGCACGAAAAACCAAATCACATTCTAAAAACAAATGTATGCACCCTCCACTCAGCAGTCACTAAGACATACTCTGAGTCAGGGGCCGACTCGATGGAGTTTAATATCAGCCCAGGGAAGGGCGCAGATCTGTTTTGAAAGGTGGAGGGGACGACATTTTGTGAGTCGATACGCACATCAGACCCATGATTGAAGCTGAGGTGCGAAAATTTGAATAAATAGTACCCTAGATGGTCAGAAATGACACTTTTAGTAAAATTCATCATCACATTATTTAAAAATGAAGAGCCAAACAAATTCTCATGATATGGTTAGGGCTGAGGTGAGAAATTTGAGGAAATAGTACCTCTGTACGGCCGAAAATGACACTTTTATAGTGAAATTCATCATCATCACATCACCATTTTATATAATCAAAATGAAACGCCAACACATTTCTCGTGACCTTTTATCCTAGGATCTACTTAATATCCAGGACAACTTAGGCCTTACTATAGCCTAGTAAGCTTTAACTATACTATAACAATTATGATCAACAAATCACTTTAGCACAATTCTCTTCACTTTTTAATATTATTCATATTATTATCAATTATATCTATCGTCATCATCATCATCATCATCATCATCATCATCATCATCGTCATCATTACTATTAGTAGTAGTATATTATTAAACAAAACTTTATAATACTTTAATAATCTTTATTTGAATCTTTACTTTTACAACAGTGGCACACGATGACGGTGCGTTCACAAAGATGACAAAACAGACAATATAAATATTTAAAGAAGCTTGCAAAACGATAAAACCAAACTGAACCATACAGTATCATATTTCTATATCTTAAAAGACCTGGCTTGAGATTTATGGATTTAAGATTTTTTAAAATAAATTTTAATACCTCCATGATTATATTGGGCCAATATGTATAACGTGTACTGATGCATGTTTACATATTTTAGAAGTATTCATTTTGAGTGATCCCAGGAAAGAATTTGTACTGGCTCAAGAACAAGCTATAAAATGTTGTGTACAAAAATGGGGGGGGGGGGGGGGTGCAAAGCCCTGACCATACATAATCGGGAGTGCCAATTAATGATCTTACCACTGCGAATTGGGAAAACGTTTGTGTAAACCTTTCACGACATGAAATTTGAATCGGATGATATCGAGTCGCCGTATCACCTGATGCAAGGTAACTTGATAATTCGAAAAAGTCGAGGCTTACATCAATCATAATTATCCCATTTCCCTGATTGATGTTATCAGTCTGCTTCGTTATGTTTGATGCAGGCGTCACTTTGGCACCTGTTCATGTAATGATGTGCTATTTTCATGTATAGTAGTGTACAGTGTTTGTTTTTACTTAAAGTTTTCAATTCTACAGGATCAGATTACTCTGCCTGCGTTCATCTCAGGTCCCCGTGGCCTCTTTATGCAGTCTGTGAAGGAATTTGGGTAAAAATCACACTTTCGGATAAACATACCATAAAAACGTCGTTGTAAAGTGGTAATAATCCTTGGGAAAATTGTTCTAGGCAAGGTTAAATAACAGATCAGTCGAATTATTGGTCGTCTCGTCATCTTTTTCATTGAGATGTTCATTTATTTTGACCTTTATGTAATTAATACTTTAGACTTTACTATTTGCTTACTCTATTTTATTTTCTCTCCAATCAAGTTGTTAGCTTTGTATTTCATTTTTATTTTTGTTCTGTACGGTACAGTATAATCGTTACCTGTTGTTAGCTTTGTATTTCATTTTTATTTTTGTTCTGTACGGTACAGTATAATCGTTACCTGTTGTTAGCTTTGTATTTCATTTTTATTGTTGTTCTGTACGGTACAGTATAATCGTTACCTGTTGTTAGCTTTGTATTTCATTTTTATTTTTGTTCTGTACGGTACAGTATAATCGTTACCTGTTGTATTACGGTACGGACGCACCACCGTACAGGTGTGTGCCACCGTTCCTAAAGTGAGTTCCAATAAATACTGAAATACTCGTACATATCTGATAGGCCTACCTCACTGGTGATGAAATATAGGCTAGGTTTGTTTTTAATTACTAGTTGGCTTAAGACATTAACGATAACCATGCTTCAATGCAATAGGGCCATTTATTTGTCAACAACATAAGTTCAGATGAATTTATAAACGGGTCTTGTTTTGTCATTGTGTTGCATTCGGACAAAAGTTCTGTTCTTTGGAGTACAAATTTATACACCTTTTTCATAAGAACCAGTAAAATTTTGCCCAGGCTCAGTGTTAATTTTTTGTCGATTTCAGGCACAAAATGTTTTTATTTTATTCTTTACAAACGTAGACAATTACAGTATTATTGTACAGCAGTAGGCCTATCTGTACTGTATTGTAGAGGGTATTAGTTAGTAACAACTACTGCGAAAAATGTACGGATATATATTTTATAACAACATTAATTTATGATTGCGAATATATTGCTAAATTGTTATTTAGTAGGTTAATGTAGGTTGATGAATACAGTATCTAAAATCTAAATGGTTACAGTGTACATAAAAGTAAAGAATTAAAACAGTTTAACTCTTTACTACAAAAGACTGGATCTGTTTTCCAAATTAAAAATTACTTGCTGTGTACCGTACCTGTACTCTATACTAATGATTCGTACTTATAGGAAGACATACATCATCTGAGAGAATATAGGAATCACTTGAACGAATGTTGTGAATCACTTACCACAATCTATGCCCATTTCCTCCTCGACAATGATTATACTTGTCGATTGTGGATTTACGCTGTCATCCTCTTAAAAAGGAAATAGTTGTGAATTTATGCACTAAAGTTAATGTCTTACTTCCCATCGTGGTTTTGCCATTTTCGCTCAGTTGTTTTTTGTCATAAATATACCGGAATGCGACAATTTTGATAAAACCTAAAAACACTAAATAATAAGTGTAATTCCTCATTTAAACACAAACAGTAAATGTATCATCAACTTCCAAATATCGAAGCAATTTAGTTTTGTGATTTACAGAATTTTTACTACAATATCAAATTTAAGGGCCAATACAAAGAATAGGCCTAGGCCTACAGGAATTGTATTTGCTATTATTAGGCTTTCAAACTGAAGAACATGACTCGTCAAACTAGACTAATATTTTCTTTAATTGTGAGCACAGAACAGACGACCTGTCGCACTTAAAGCCGGACGCTCACTGCGTCGTACGACGAATCCACATTTGCTTCCGGCGAGCGATAGACGACGCAACCACCGTCTGCTGATTGTCAGTGGCAATCTGAACGGATCCTCATTATTAAGACGATTCGTTGGGTCCGCGTCTTCGCGTGCGTTCTTCTTCGCGTCGCCGTCGGACGCAGTGAGTAACCGGCTTAAAGGTTCACTGATGTGCAAAGATGGATTCTTTTAGGAGTATTTGCATTTTGGCAAAGTAGTCAACGATCAATTAGGTTTGAGAAATATGATCTTCAATGATTAATAGGCCTATTGATTGATGGAAGTGAGTCACGAATTTGGTTAGGAAATTAGAAATAACTACATTTCGAATCGCGTTATTAAAAACTTTTCTTTTGTAAGATTTATAAGTGCTTGTCTACACTCACTCTTTGTCATTTTCACGTCTAGATTAATATTATTTTTTTCGATTTCCAGGTCCAAATTGTGATACAACAAACGGAAAAAAAGTAGATGGCTTCAGCTGCGGCGATGGACAGTGCATTTGGAAAAGTTTGGTGAGTAACGTGACTGTATTTCAGTCAGTATCGTGTGCAGTAGGCCTACAGTATTACAGTATTATTTTATTATTGAGCAACCGATATTCTCACCAATTAATTAACACTAACGTTGTAACACACGATACCAAGTAATAATGACTGCTTTCGAAATACAGGCCTGTCATGTTGCTTTAAATAAATTATAAACGCCTCAACGCATATTTGACCAATTACGATTTACCGTAATCTATTCTATATTGTTTATTGTATTTCCACAGCGTTGTGATGGGAGACAGGATTGTTTTAATAGTTTTGACGAAGAGGAAATCTTGTGCGCTTTTGAGTCGTATATTCCCGAGTACGTTTGTTCAGACAACGAATTTGATTGCGGCAACGGTAATTGCATCAACAGAAAAAAACGCTGTGACGGTCAACGCGAGTGTGATAATGGCAAAGATGAGAAGAATTGTGACGACACGTATTGTAAGTTAATGGCATCATTTATCCCAATAGGCCTTTAACATAATATTTGGGTAATTATCAAACTATGAAAAATAGAACTGAAACGCTCAAAAATTTTATTCGGTGGCCCTTCATATTCCTTTAACACCATACGCTACGTCACATCATAAGATAGGCCCTTAACAGCAGGAACTGCCGAGCATGTTAAATGATTTTATCAGGGTAAGTGCAACTATTTTTATACACAATACAACGCGTTACTACTGAGTGTACATTTGCAATCGTATATGCGTTAATGCGTCACTCCTGGTAATATATTAATCTGTTTGCCGATGGAAGTCGTTTACCTTATCGATGTTAATTATAATGCTTTCTATTCGATCTCGCAACTCACAATAAATATACCGATACCTGTCTAAAATACTGAGTACGGTACGGTACATTAACAGTCTACCATTAACTAAGTACTCACATTACATTACGTGTTTTAACTGCAGCAGGCCCTTGCATTTAAAAATAATGGCTTTGCATATTAAAACTAAAAAGTTTCACGTTGCCAATATAGACCTATCAATTCGCAGTTTAATATTCGAAATGTTGCCATTTATTTATTATATAAGTTAAGGAAACAGGAAAATATGTTTTGGTTAAAAATCTTTGTCAGTAGAATATCCAAATTAGGGATATTCAAGATTTCTTTAATTCGTCATATGTTTACAAGTTCATAAAACGCACAAAATTAAAAATATATATATATATATAAAGTGTAAAAACAGTATTGCCATGAATAAAAGTTACAAAACAAAGGTTACAATTATTAAATACTGAAGTAGAAAACTACAAGGGTTATCCAGATACAACAGTGCCTTATTATTACATTACACCAAACAAAACAGTCCGTACCCTAATATTTGCGAAATTACGCCATTTGGGAATCGAACCTACAACCTTCAGACTTACTAGCCTGGTATCATAATGCGAGCTGAATTTGTGGACCAAGGGGCGTGGCTTCTTATGGTGACGTCATGCACAATTTCAGCTGCACTACGTCTTCATTCTTAATCTCCTCGACAATGGTCCCTGGTAATCACACGTCATAGCAAAATACAGTACAACCAATCTAAGAAAAAATAATGTCGTCCCTGGATTATTTTCAATTTATGGGGCCTGAAATGATATATATATATAGCTGGTCTTGTTTTAGGGGTAGTGGCTGTATTTACCAACAACACAAAGTTAAATATTTCTCAAGTATATCATCCTTTGTTGACCTCTCCTTGATGTAAAATTGTAAACCATTAACTTCATGGTAACACATTGCTGTTCCCGCTGCTTAGGGGATTGAATTCAAATCTATTTTATATAGCAATCAGCAGAAGCGTTGGAAAACGCCAGAGAGATGAAATAACAAACTTTTTTTTATTTTACTTGTATGTTCTATGTGGTTAAATCGTATTTATTGTTAAATCTTTTTAGTAATCCGACCAAATTGTGACGAGGAGAATGGTAAACCTGTAACTGGAGTAGATTGTGGTGACGGAATGTGCATATTTTCGAATCAGGTAAGCATAACCGTTAAAGGTTTTTTGTGTCTCTACTGCCCTCAAGCAGTAGACACTTTGCTATCCTTTTCAATCCGGAAGTTGACAATGTGAGCGTGAGTTGACACATTCACAAAAATGTGAAGTAAGAATCCGGAAGTGTAAAGTTGACACTATGTCACATTCGTGATGTGTGATGACCTGATTTTACTACTGTACTACCCGTAAACTCAGTCGTGTGTGGTACGATGCATTGCTAGCCAATTCGTCATTATCTGTACTATTATTTCATTAATCACTTTCGACACCACCGTTTCTATTAAATTTGGCAGTAGACACATGCTCCCGCTAAGAGCCTATTTTATCGAAGCTTTGGAAGCTGCTTCATACCAACATTATTGTATCCGTAGTGTAGCTGTGATAAATCGGAAAAAATGAAACAGCACTGAAAATGGTGGTGCCAGGATGATGATGTCATCACATCCATATAAGAGACAAATCACATGTATTATACAACTCGATGATGTTAACAGACTTAATAAGAGTGCTACTGCCCTCTACTATTAGAATGAATTGCAATAGAAAAATATCTTGCCAAATTTTGAGCTAGGACATGTATTGTAAAAATAAGACTATAACTATTTGCGATTAAATACAATAATAAAAAATTTAAAAAAAACCAAATTCAATTGCACCAACATTTGATAGCTCATATTTACAAGAATAAGGCCCAAATTCTCAACTTTCAAATAAGACAAATCAATACAATTAAGTTTGTGTTGATTTTCAGACTTTCGACAAAGAATGTCCTTAAATCGATTACTATCCAATTTAAGGGACCATGTACCAATATTATTAATGCGTCTGACTGTCAATAGAATATTAATTTTATAGTTTTCCATTGAAAGCTTATAACCTAATGTACAAATTCAGCAAATTGATTTTTAGTTCAACAAAGTGTTATGTTAACTAAAGTCTATTTGTATTCATGTGACCTTATTTGAATGTACATAGGCTTATTTGATGAAAGTTATTTAAAAGCTACACAGATTATGTTCTACTAACTTTACAGCTTTGTGACGATAAACCAGATTGTATGAATGGAATGGATGAATCTCCCTTAACGTGTCCCGATAAACATAAGGATATTTGCACAGAAAAAGAATTCCAATGTGCATCATCAAAGCAGTGTGTACCTTTAACAGATAGGTGTGACGGTACTTCCGACTGTAAAAATAACTACGACGAGCACAATTGCCCCTCTAAAAAATGTGCTAAAGGCAAGATTGATTGCGGAGATGGTCAATGCTACAAGGTAGAAAAAGTAAGTAGGCCTATGTCTAATGTACAGTGAACGTCGGTGACCATATTCAATTCGGTTTCCATATTCAAGTCAAACTACATTATTGTAATCCAATTATTAGGACCTAGGCCTAATTGGCATGGCTTTATCATGATTGATTATATATATTCTTGGTACTTAATTGCAAAACGCATTAAGACGTTACTTTGCAACATAAGGCGCAGTCTACATTCATTAAAATTAACAACAATGAGATTGTTTTAACGGCTAAGCAAACCTGCAAGTTTTTTTTGTTTGTTAAGGTGACTTAGATAACAACGATAATTAATCATGATCTGCATAAAATTCCGGTTGAATTATACAACCAAACCAACAACAAAAACAGGTCTACTCTAAATGGGGATTTAATCTAAATTTACACAAGCTTATGGTATTTGACATAGTTTCCTTTTTGTATTGGTACTTGCGGAAATATCTGAAATCTAGCGATTAATAATTATACTGTTTGCCGTGAATTTTAAAATAGGCCTGTTACCATTTGTTGACTGTAAAGCGAAGTTTAAGTATGTATACACATGTAATGATTTTGTTTTAAATGTCAAAATGAGCGTTTCAATTTATTGACTAAAAACTATTTTTCAAAGATTAAGCTAATATTTCCAGATATAGAAATCTGAATATAAACTCTAAATGTTTGCTTACAGTTATGTGATGGCGAACAGGACTGCTTCAACAGAGCAGATGAAAAACACTGCACACCGAAAGTTTGAAACTGTGTGACGTCAACAACTATAATGGTAACCAAATTGACTTTTGAAGAGCATTAATTGTCTACAATCCACTGGTTTGTTGATCTTCTGTACAATCAAATCCAAGGAACTTTCATGTAAATAGAGACTTCATCGAAGTATGATTTTCCTTATAGTATCTTGTGTGTAAATAACTAACACAACTACGAACCTCTGCCGATTTCAACGTGCACAGTGACTTAAAACTACGAAATCTTGCAAGATATCGACTTCGATTAAAGTTCTCCGTATAGTAATAACTCTTTATTTGGCTTCTGGAATAATATAGTAATGTACTTTTGTAAAAGAGAGAACTACTGTATGTAGGGGCATGGCTAGATATAACTGGCTGTTAAAAATCGCATGCAGTTTTGAACAAAAATGAAGAAAAGTAAATGTCAAATTGACTAGTCTCTGCAACCGGCAGATGATCATACGTTTATTGTCCATGTACCGCAACGAATTAGCAAGCGTTTGTATTGACATACCACACTATCACTCACCACTCGATCACTAACAGAGTACTTTGGCTTAGATGTCTGTTTTCACATACACTTCTTTTTTGGACGCCAGTCTGAGAATAGGAAATTTCATTATTTTAAAGCCTTTCACAAACAATATCAATCTGATTAATAAAAGGAAAAAATATAAATGTCCGATTAAATAATAATTTTGTTCTATTGTCTCACGAAACATAATGCTTAGTTTATTTTAGTAGACATAATAGGCCTACGGCAACGCTAGGTTGATACTGTGAAGAAAGTATGTAGGACTACACATCTAGTAGCTAATTGAAACGTTTGATTATTTGATGATAAATATACAAACTCGACCTCATTTCGATTTTCATTTGTATTTGTAATACTGTAATTGAAAACTTCAAAATCAGGAAATGATGTCGATGGGTGCACATTTTTGATGTCATTCGTTTTGTGAATAATTAATTATTTTAATGCATTGTGAAAAATGCTACTGGTATAATATTTTGTAATACTATCACCATATTCGTTTTTGTGAAATATATTTATTTGTATAGTAGTGACAACATAATTGTTCTCTGTTCTGTTCAACTATTTTTCTGCATCAATATATTACATTGGGAAAATACGACCTACATTATTATTGCTTGCGCGTTTGACACATTTTACCACATTTATAAACACACTATAATACACACACATTGTAAATCAATCGTGACGTCATCACTGCAACTCCCAATGTTATTTGCCTATTCCCCGCCGTCCACTAATTTTTCAATTAGCGGACGCTTTGCTTGATTTTTTTTAGGTTCGTGTGCAAAAAAAACCCCCTCATTTTTTTAGTCACCTCGAAATCATCGTGCACCGCGATAAAAATTCAATTGTAATTGAAAATTACTTTCGTAAAATAAGGTTAATTAGAACTCGAAGAAAGTTACTTTAAATTCAATTTTAAGTATGAACAATTAGGCAATTCCTTGAATCAATGAACCCTAATAATCTAAACAAACTGAACGTTTAATAAGAATATTCTATAACTATTTTAAAGACTCAAGGAACAAAATTAGATGTAGAGCCGCCGAGGCCTCCTCCTACTACTAGCCTACACCAAAGATAATAAATAGCAAAAGATACAGCAGCGTCCCAATATAGTGGAACATCCGTTCGAAAAGCATTGTGGGTACACGGAGAGCAATTTTACCCCGTCCGCGCGGCGAAGCTATATATAGCAATAACAAAGGCGCCGCTCTGGTTCGTTTGTTTCTTGTAGTTTCTCCACTTAGTAAAATGGTCAAATTTTACCCCATTCGAGGGAGGGCGGATGTTCCATCAATTTTAATACAAATACGCGGAGCAGCTCATTCTACTATTTAAGTTCAAAATAGCCTAGGCCCTAGGCCTAGTTATTCCAAGGTAATTCAACAGAAGGACACACACCTCTGCTCTCGAACATAGCGCGTGCGTACAGTCCTTTGATCTTTACTGTGGCATCGACAATCCGATACTAGTTGCGAGTACAGCCGTCAATTATTAGTCTATGCGTGCCACTCGTTTTATGGTGTTAGTTTTTATTTTATTAATTTTGGGTACTTCGCAATGTCTGTTACATCTGATTTTTTTGACTGCGAGCTTGTTAAATGCTTCTATAAACTGCAATTTGATTTGTGAAAATTGACCAAGAAAATTAAAAGTTATAGCAATTTAAAATTTACGAATTTTATAAAATTTCATGTCCTTATGTAACATTAATCTGTCATTTTGACAATGCTGGCATAAGTTGCCAAAAACGAACATTTGAGTATATACAGAACATTTATTAATTTTTTCTGCGAAGTGAGTCTCATGAACGACAGTTCACCACAATTTTGGTAAAATTAATGTTGAAATGAAGAATATAATTTCAGTATAATATTAGTGCAAAATATCATTAGGCCTTTGTAGTCATCGCACGACGCGAGATTATCATGGCAACTAACACGCGCGTGAGTAATTCGTCACGTATGCTGACGGTTTATGTTCTGGTTGCTATGGTTTTGTGACGTTCAGCGTGTAGGGACGTACGTGCGCCTAGAATGTCGATGCCAGAGTTATAACCTATGGCTATGTTCAGACACAACGACTTACGCTAGCGTAACGTTAATCGAGTGGTGTGAACTTGTGCGCGGCGTAGCGAGCGCCAGTATTATCGCGCAATCACTGGCGTACGGTAATCCAGCAACAGACCCCAGATTAGCGTACGCCACTGATTTACGACAGTCACGCATCGGTGATTTTTATACTGATCATATCACTATAGCAACTGATGACTGGTAGAACACAGTTGGTTATAAAAACTACTGTAACATTAAAAGACGGCGATTGACTTATAAAGAAATTAGTAGAGCATGCATCGTACACTAGCGGAAAATTATTATACTTAGGTTAGATTTAATGCATTCAAACCTTCGTATAATAATTTTCCTATAGTGTACGTACTATGCGGGGCTCTATTAATTGCTTAAAAGTGTAGGCCTAAATCACGAATACATAGGCCTATACAAAATAATGTTAAACTTATGAATTAATACTTTCATGACCAAGTCAGGTAGTCCACGAAGTGTGCACTTTCCTGTACGAAATGACCATCAGAGAACGCAACTCAAATATAAACAAATATAACTGAAGTAAGCGAAGAAAATACTATTTTAATAAATTAACATTGCAATCAGAGAAACACAGAATAGTGTTAATGCAAGAAAGTAAGGTCAGAGTAAAAGTAGTTCTCTTATGTGTCATAATATTACAGAATACGGAGGCATTTAAACCAGTTATGAAATCATTTTCAATCACTGTCCGTTCTTCAGAAAATATCCCATAACATAATTTGTATCTTTATCTAAAGTAGAACTTATATTGCAGGCCTAGGATTTTATTATTGCCACTGGTAATAATACGCCTAGTAAACAGGATGGAGGATGTGACTTCAGATGTACAGTACATTAAGATTGCATTGTTATCGTAATTCGTAAACTGTCCAAGTTTCTTAAAATTAAAATAAGGCGCTTTATCTTTATTAAACAACCTTTTTCGCTATATAAATCATGACTTGTATTAAATAATACCACCTCCATGATAATACACAGGTATAGGCTAATGTGTGGTTAATAAGTAGTTTATGTCACCTAGGCCTACATGTGTTTTGTAATAAGAATCAAGGCCATTGTTTCAAGTTCGAGGTTTAATAAACCAAAGTAATTTGCCGTTAGCCTTGTGTTGCGTGTCGGACTAGCCCTTAATTGGCGTACAAATACCTCAACGACAGATGTGTTATTCGTCTTATAACCACTGCAGTACTGTAATTTCAATAACTTGTCAAAACAAAGCAACCTTTGATTGTGCATTACTCAACGTTTACCGTATTTGGTAATATTGAATTATACTCTATGATATTTGTTTATGCACTCAAGGACTCTGATCCTCTAATCCTGTAATATAACTGAACTAGCCATTCTTCCATCCGTTTATCTATTATTTGTTTTTGTTACACATTGTATGATAAAAACTTATACGAGTATTAATAATAATGACAATAGCAATATGAGACTCTAAATAATGGTAATATAACAATCATCAACGATGAATAATTATTATGATTCTTAACTACAATGATGATGATGATGAAGATGACAATGATACAGTAATGAGGATTATGATGATATTAAAATAACAATAATGATATTAAAAATACTAATAAAGATATTGGTAATAATAATATTAAGAATAATTTCTATGTTTCCATTTAGATTGCCTATTATTTTGATTGCTATTAAATTATTCATGAACCTGCAATAGCGTCCCCCAACCTCTATTGCTTCGATTTTTAGGCAGTAGTGCGCCCCCTAAATTTTCCTGTCAAAACTTTCCAGAATCGGCCAGTTCAGTTACACACATTAAATTTAATAATTTATCCGTAGTTGTAATGGTAAACCTCTTTTTATAAATCAAGCCTATCTTGTCTATTGCCTTTTTGCACTAATAACACAAATATTGAATGACACGAATGGATTATGAATGCAAGTGAATCAATCATTTATGCGCTATCCCAGATATTGTTGATCCGTGAAAACGTATTAACTGAGGATGTCGATGCAATGTATTTGTCAAATAAATAACATGAAAAGCAGTTGCTCTCAACGTAAGACCATCTGTTGTACCAGGGAGGTATAACAATATTTTATACCTCCCTGGTTTTACGGAATAATAAATGTGGACATCTTGCATTTAGGGGAAGCATCTAGGTTTATGTTCCTGTACGGTATCTTTTCTTCTTTATGTTCTCGTACAGCAACAACTACGGTAGCTTGTTAATTACAGGATCGATATAAACTACACTATACTACAAAACCTAGTTATGTCTGTAAAGTAAAGTTCTTTTAAAGCTTAGTTCCAGAGGGACTACTATGTTGTACAACTTATTATTCTAAGAGACTGAGGGGTGTTTGACGAAAAAGTCGGAAACGGTAATTAAGATACTGATTTTTAATATAAAAAAACCTCGAATTTCTCGCCATCATCATCGGTTGTCCGTAATTTTTGACGCTGACAACAAGCTAAAGCAGAGATTTCCTGGTACAGTACTTGTGCTGGGCCCTGTGGCTGGCAGCGATTTAGAAAAAAAGTCAGCGTCAGTTGACCGAGTTCTAGTTCTTTCGGTGAGTAAAACCGACCCCATATTTTCTCATTTATGGCTTACTGTATACACATTACTTAATTTCTGGTCGGTAGTTGATCGAGTTTTAATTAATTAACAGCAGAAGCTACATGTGTTGGTAGATACATCTCCCTTTGTTCCATTCAAATGTGTGATTGGAGTGTTGACTGAGTTCAGGTTTTATTATAGCACCTATTGATTCTGGTTACCGTTTCAAGACTTTCTAAATATTTTTATATTTGTGTCAAAATAGTGAAATATCTTTTCTTGAATTGAAGTACTGTATGTGAAATCACTTACGGTAATAAATATAGTAATTAAATTTGACCTATTAGACGTAACTTGATGCAGTTACATTGAGATAACGCGCTCTATACAATACAAGGACATGTTGATGGATCTAAAACTTCTGAAACGCGTTTATTCGGAACAGACCTAATTCTATAGCTTTTTATATAGGTTAAAAAGCGAGTTGATATCATTAAAGCAAACCAAGTGAGCATAGATATCAATACACATTGATTATTAGCTAGTTTCCGAACGAATTAACTATTAAGTCTCTCAAAATAAATTTTAGGAAGTGATGAAACAATAGAAAATTGAGGTTACACCATAAGTCTTCAACAAATTACTATGGGATGTTATTATATGTATTGATTATATTATTAGGACAATATACAAAAATACAAATTTGGTAACACAAGAGCACTCACCATGTGGACATGTTAACACCTGGTAGCCACTGAACAGTCTGTTAACAAAGTGAGCATGTGTATATAACAAATTGAGCATGTGTATATAACTCTTAATCCTTGAAATAACGTTTCTAACGTTTCGAAACAGCTATTATGAACAGGGTGGCGCCAGGATTTGCCCGACGG